ACACAAACTACATACAAACCACTATATTCTTTCCTAAAACAACCCTACACCCCACCCCGTAAACCCCCAAATAGACGAGGATTTCAGAACACGATGTCGATCTGAAGTCGCACTACTCTGGGTCCCTTGGACATCAACCCCCCTCCCCCTTTTTTTTTCATAAACAATCCTGTTATCCCATCAAACCCCTTCAACCCCCATCCCTATCAATTTATAGACTCTTTATAACAACCAACCCAAAATATCCCCCCAGGTTAAACGAGGATAACAAAACAAGATGTCATTTTGTTATTGCAATAACTCTGGATCCCATGGACATCATACCTATCCCTTAATATCCTACCCATAACCATTAAAAAACCCCCCTCTTCTTCCCTATTTTTTAAAAAAGTGGTTTTAATAATTATTGCTGTATGCATTATAATATTTCGTTACTATTCTCAAATTATGTTTTGACCAAGGACAGTAGAATCTAAAAGGACTGCTACATCCATTGTTGTGACAACCTGCCCGCAAACTACGTCACATCATTTTCCACGCCCAGCTGTTGTTATGGTCTATGCGTTTGCTGTGTTTTTAGAGGTTATATCCTAGACTTATTCATATTATTTTTGAAGTTTTATGTTTTTAGACGTATTAATGTCTATCATATAACCTCTAAAAACACAGACAGTTACCAGGCGTGGCAAATAGTGTGACGTAGAGTGCGGGCAACCAATCCGTAGTGGACTACAAAAATACAATGGATGTAGCAGTCCTTTTAGATTCTACTGTCCTTGGTTTTGACTTTAAATATATTACCAAACAGAAAAATAAAATATCCCCAAACAAATTAACACATAACCTCAAATAAAGTTTGACAACGAACTCCATGACGCATCAATTACCTAAACTGTTTTAATCTTTCATAATCGCAACTTAAAAGAATCATTTACATAATCTAATGGTAGGAACAAGTGAGGAATTGCCAAATGAATGAATCTAATATATATTTTGTAAGGAATTGACGTAAGTTTTATTATTGTATTAATTTAAGAATCCACTTAATTTAGCACGTTAATCTAATCGTAAGATTTATTTAAGAAAATTTGTATCTATGTAGGATATCTCCTGAAGATGCTGTGTAAACACAGTGAAACCGGTTGAGTAAAAATTAAAAATAAAAATCCATTAAAGTGCAAAAAACGAAGTTTAATTTATACACATAAAATGGAAAGAAAATCACCAAAAAATAAAAATTTAGATGTTTAGGTTGCTGAATTTTTTATTTTTTAGATTATGAAGGGAGGTTACACTTATGCTACAATGAAAACTCAATCGAGTTCTTAAAACTGATTCAAAAAATAATCACAGCAAGTTAATAAAATTTAATAATAACGTAGGGTTGTTGGAAAACAAACACTTTTCACAGACTTTTAAATGTAGTTATAACTCAAATTATTATTCAAAAAATAATCACAGCAAATTAATGAAATTTGAGAATAACGTAGGGTTGTTGGAAAGCAAACAATTTTTACTGACTTTAAATGTAGTTAAAACTCGAATTCAAAATAAAATATGGGTGCTAATTCAAATCATTTCTTTGTAACTTCCTAAGTAGCCTCTCCTTCAATCCCATGTTCTCTTTGTTTTCAGCATTAATTAATTAATTTAAGAGTCCAAATTGAGCAACCTTCCCTTGTTTGATACTTGATTTCTTTTGAATCCTTTAAATTCTGGTGATATATATTTTATATTTGGGATTCCAAACAGAGTTGCAAAAGCTTAAACCGCTATGCAGATTAGCAAATACAATGTTCTTATACCATAAATATTAGTAGAATTTAGCGTGACTCTCATAAGAAGCCAAGTATGCGCCAAACTTGTGCAATGACTACGTCAACGTGCCCCTCAAACGTTAGTTTGACAACAAATGTGATGACCAAGTCCCTGACCTGAGTCACTCTTGGTATGGGAATATCACCCAGGGTGTAATCGTATCTAATCATGCTCATCTTCCTTGCAAAAGAAATAACATTACATTTTTCTGGCTGCAGTATCATGAAATTTGAGCATGACCAAAAACAAATAACCTTATACAATACTCTCCAAAATTATCGCACCACCTAAATTATGCATTAAGTTTAAAGGTATTTTTTTTGAATCAACGGATGAATTTTGATAATTCTCTCTTCACGGTATAGGTTGATTTTTAAGGAAGAAATGTGTTGATGGTTTCTGACAATTGTTAACGTTTTACCCATATACGGGGTGTAAAAAGAAATTTATGTTTTTTCTTCTAATTTTGCAACAATCTGTGGAATTTATCAGAAAGAACCGCTACATTCCATTTACATTGCGTTAGAATGGCAACCCTTCTCTACATTTTCGTTCAAGAATCATCTCGATATCTCTTTTATCGAGGAAGATATACATTTTTTAAGTTTGACTTAATTTTGTTGAAATATAGTCCTTACTAATGAAACAAGCAGGCTATGAAATATCAAACAGTTTGACGCATTTAGCAAGTTGCTGCTTTGGGTTATTAAGTGTTTATTTGACATGGACCGTATTTCAAGACATTTAAACCGCGACGAGTGTGTTGAGGCAGTTACTTTAGCCAATGAAGGAATAAGTTATCGTGAAATAGGCTTGAGATTAGGAGTTTCTCATACAACAATATCACGTGCCGTTCAACGATTTCAAGAGACAAATGATCATACAAGACGACCTGGACAAGGAAGAAGGAGAGTCACAACACTACGCCAAGATCGTTTTATTAGACTTCGTGCTTTAAGGGAACGTTTTGTTGCAATGAGAAACTTACAGATACAAGTAGCAGATGTTCATAATATTCGAATTAGTACTAACACTGAACAAAGGCGTCTCGCCGAAGGTGATTTGCATGCAAGGATTCCTGCCAGAGCACCAAATTTAAACGCAAATCATCGTAGAAGGAGATTGCAATTTTCCAGAGAACATCTTGACTGGAATGCTGATGACTGGGAACAGCTCAGATAGACGTTTAAGAGTAATTCGACGGCCCAATGAACGCTATGCACAGTGCAACATACGACCGACAAATTTATTTAATGGAAGATCTGTAATGGTTTGGGGTGGAATTTCGCTTACAGCACGAACAGGCTTTGTTTCTTTGCGAAGAGGTTCATTAACAGGTGAAAGGTATATTACAGACATTTTATCGGAACACGTGGTACCCTTTGCTCCTTACATAGGAAATAATTTTTTATTAATGCATCATAATGCAAGACCTCATGTTGCCTATACGGTCCGTGACTATTTGGATGAAGTTGGTATACAAACCATGGACTGGCCACCCTGTAGCCCTGATCTCAATCCAATAGAGAATTTATGGTATAATATTGATCGTCAGTTAAGGGGCCGACATCCACCACCTATCGTTTTATCACAATTCGTTACATTTCAAAAATCAACCTATATCATCAAAATCCATCCGTTGATTCAAAAAAATACCTTTATACTTAATGCATAATTTAGGTGGTGTGATAATTTTGGAGAGTAGTGTATTTGAAGTACATAAATGCGTTATTAGGTCTGTCAAATTTTCGCACATTGTAACAATTCGCAAAATTCTCTACCGAATGTATGCCACGATGCAGCCAAGTCTCTGTCAGATAAAGAACGTCGTTATTAGAATATAACACGTCATAAAATAATGTATCTAACTTGGTTCTAAGGCCGCGTACGTTTTGGTAACAAAATGCAATGACAGATCATTAATAATAGGTTCTTGCGTGACTATAGATCCGTCTACATGTTGCTCACGTCGCGTCGGTATCACATTAAATGAGGATAGGACAATTCCTGGTCCAAACATATTTATAAATTCTGGCTTTACTAAAAAAGACTTCGTTTGCCGGTATTAAATCTTCATTAATACAACAAAAATTAACAACACTCTCGATTGATAGTCTCGGTGATCACCTAGCAACCGACGATTTCATTTAGAGAGTGAGCAACGTGATGGACCGCATCCACATCAGTAGCCGAAATCAGCACCTCAAGGAAACTACCAATAGTTTCGATCATCGTATCCAAGCTCTCAAATATCAAAGATCCTATAATATCGGAATACGGAAAGTGTGGTAAGATGGACGCGCAGGAGACTCTGAAACAAACACGTTTCACTAATGCAAAGGAATAGACTGTCAAGAATTGACAGAGATTGCTGTCCAGCATCCTAAAGCCATCAGGATAAACTCCAAATAGATGAAACGATAGCTGCATCACTAGATATGGAGGCAAAACAGAATGCTACAATACGTTCCTATGGTTTCCATAAAAAAAAAGAGTTTTGAATCTTCCAAATGTTTCGTGATTACGATAACTCGCAATGGGACGCCTGGATTATGAATTTTTTACTGCTCCTTACACAAACAGGATTTTCTTTTCCTGTGGTGGAATATCTTTTTCATTTTGTTAACTATTTTATCTGTTTTAATTCTCCTGTTAGTGTTTAAAGCATGTAGACTATTCATATTGTCCTCATATCATATTTTGACGAATTTAATAATATTTTCTGTATTTGGCTAAACCCCATATCATTCACTCTGTCGATGCTGTTCTTATGACGATAAATTTCAGTACCTTCTCTGGCTATTCTCTAATAATAGTGGCTGTTTCTGGTAAGTATTTTTGTTTTATCAACAATTATATAATAATAATAATAATAATGACTTACAATGATGACAATTAACAATTTGACACAAACGGTTGTTTACTAAATATCATACAAATACAAAAAAGATAATATAATTACAATTAAAACATAAAGATAGTTACAAAAAAAAACAAATAGAAAATAACTATAATAGAAAAAAAAAAAAGAATGGGAAAAAGGCGAAGTTCAGGTCATCCATCCTGAGATGGATGATCTGTTCTTCCACTTGAGCTGAGCTTCACTTATCAAAATAAAATTTTATGGGAATTTAAACAGAACAAAATAATGCCGCGTCACAGGGCGACTTCCGCCCGCTACACGTGCTCTACACCCTGACTCCGCAATAGATGGTTTCGATAACGACTTCTAAAAGTAGCTAAGCTGCAATAGGGACCAACCGGGAGACCGTTCCATATCTTTGATATCTGATATGACAAAGATCTTTCATACAGAGTAGTTCTATGTATCGGAGGTGCAATCAAATTTTTCTTTCGCAAATTGACAGTATGAGCATCTCTACGGAATTCGATCCTACTATATAAATAAAATGGTTTCTTAGATTCGACAATTCTTTGACAAAACATAGCGTATCCCAATTTTCGACGATTAACCATATTCAACTATTCAATTTTACCCAGCTTGGACGATACATGATCGCACCTTCGCAAACCACACACAAACCTCACACACGCATTTTGGACTCTTTGTATCCTTGCAGCGACAGTCGCAGATAAGCAAGGGCCATACACCACGCTACCATAGTTAAAATGCGACAAAACCAGGGCATCACATAACATTATACGGTTAGCTTGATCGAGAACTGATCTGCTACCGTACAGTTTTTTTAGATTAGCAAAAGCTATTCTAATGCATTTTTCTACATGCTGCTCAAATCTCAAATCAGAATCTAATATAAGTCCCAAGTCGCGAGCACTATCACAGAACTCAATTGGCCTATTTCCCATAACCAAATTAAGTTTATTTTTAGTTGCGTTCGGACTTGTGATCTTGCAAAAATAATAACAACGGACTTGGTGGGATTTACAATTAAAGAGTGATTCCTTGAGAATTTATCCAATGACTTCAGATCGTCATTAATTCTATTACTTTCCTGTAGAGCATCATGAAGTGCAAAGGAGTGATATAACTGGGTATGGTCAGCATATCTATGTATGTTCGTATGAGCAACATATTGCGTAAAATTATGGGTATAAATAAAAAACAATACCGTTACTACCCGTTACTACCGTTACCGTTATTACCAAAAATTTGCATTAAAATTTAAAATGTACTGTTTTAGTTTTATTAATTATTAAATTGTTGACTTCAGGAGAAACGTTTTCGTTCAGAAAGAAAGCTGGTTTCAGCAAATCGAGGCTTACATTTATTTCTTTACTGTCTTTCAATACAACGAAAAATTTTGAAAATCTCTTCAACACTCTGAAGGGACCTTCGTACCTAGGAGACAACGTAGGTTTAATTCCAGTAATTTTAACAAATACAAAGTTTGACCTGAATAATTCTTTGTGAACAAAAGGTTTTTGGCTGGAATGTATGGTTGACTGAACTGGTTTAATGTCAGCAAAAGATGATTTTAAACGTGATAATAATGGTTCAGTTTCAATTGATGGTTCGGTAGGTAAGAAAAATTCTCCTGGTAATCTGAGTTGCTGACCATAAACCAATTCAGCGGATGAGCAACCTAAATCCTCCTTTAGGGATGACCTGAGACCTAGGAGAATCAAAGGCAAGTCATTGTTCCATCTAGAAGAATTACCTCGAGCAATAATCGCTGATTTCAAAGTACGGTGAAATCGTTCAATCATACCGTTACTTTGTGGGTGATAAGCAGATGTGTGTATTTGATGAGTACCTAAAAATAATTGGAATTTTGAAAATAATAGTGATTCGAATTGTCGTCCTTGATCGTGAGTGATCATGGTAGGAATACCGAAACGGCTGAAGTAATGCCTGAAAAGAGTATCTGCAATAGAGGCTGCAGAGATATCTTTTAGAGGAAAAGCCTCTGGCCACCGTGTGAAACGCTCAATGACTGTGAGCAGATAAGTACATCCAAGAGATGGAACAAGTGGGCCAACCAAATCAATGTGAATGTGTTCAAATCGAACTTTTGGAACTTTGATTTTGAGAATTGGCGATTTTGTATGCCTTTGTATCTTAACTTTCTGGCATTGTAAACATGATTTTGTCCAAATACGAATTTGTTTCGACATATGAGGCCAAAAGAATTTTGTTTTTATTAAATGAATGGTTGCTCGAATGCCAGGGTGAGATAAACCATGAAATTTTTGTATAACTATTTCTCTAAATTGCTGCGGAATGTAGATTCGCGGAGATTCCGTTGATATTTCACACCATAATTTGATATCAGGTAGCGTTGTGGGTTGTAGCAATAACTGATAGGGTGTTGTAGTGTGAGTGTGAGAAAATTGTTTATGTAGTAGGTTCGACAATTCGATATCTGTGACTTGAGCTTTGTAAAGTGTAAGTGTGTCGGGGTACTGAGAATTTAGGGATTCAATATTTGTCCTGGACAAAGCGTCTGCAACAATATTGGAATTTCCCTTAATGTATCTCACATCGGATGTATATTGTGTTATGTAATTTAGGTACCTGGTTTGTCTTGGTGTTTTTTCTGTTGATGAAAATATTGCCGTAGTTATAGGTTCGTGGTCGGTGAAAACTGTAAAATTGTTTCCATGTAGGAAATGATTAAAAAATTTTATGGAACTAACTTTTGGCAGACTTTTTATTTTGCGTCTGTTATGTTTTGCTTCAAAAACAATTGTGTGCAAATATAAAAATAATAACAAATGAATTACAATTTTATGTTTTTAAATGGAGCTGCTGCCACAGCACGCTACACGGACCTAATACTGAGCCCTGCGGGACTTCCAAATTAACACTACTATATGACGAGCATTCGCAGTCAATATCCACACATTGCTGTCTACCGAAAAGATAGGATTTAAAAAAATTTAAAATGGATGCAAGCCGATCATGGTTGACAGTATCGAAACCTTTGCTGTAATCTAACAAAATTAAAATACTTATTTTATTATTGTCTGCTGCCTGTAAAATATCATCAACTATGAGAGTTAATGCAGTAGCACAGCTGTGCGCCAACCGAAACCCTGACTGCTTGTCTCCTAAAATATCTATCATTTCTAAGTACGTAATGACCTGTTTTGCTACCACTTTCTCCAAAATTTTAGATACAACTGGTAACAAACTTATAGGTCTTAAGTCATTTAGAGCTTTGGGCTGAGCTTTCTTAGGAATTGGTACAACAATTGCT